AATGGGTCTCCAAAGTCCCATAATACACTGTGGTACAGGGTATTATGTCTTTGTGCATATGTTTGTAATAGGCAAAAGGATACGAGATAGACACATGGTCCCTTTTGAGAATATGCATAGAATCACTTTTTAAGTCGATTTATGCACGTCTGTCTGTCCGTCCGGCCATGTATTTTTGTTAACAAAGTCCCTATATATACTTCGATTTGCACGAAATTTGGCACAGCGTACTGAATTAAGTCTAGAACTATGTGTGTTAAATTTCGTGAAAATCGGTTTAGATTTAGATATAGATTCAATATATATATTCGTCCGATTTTATGTAAATGGTGCACCAAAGTCACTATATATCCTTCCATTTGCACGAAATTTGGATTTACAAGTAAATGAAGAACTCAAAGTGTGGCCGAACATGTGACAAGTTTCGATGAAATCGGTTTAGATTTCGATATTTTGCTTTAAATTTATTTACATAATTTTGTCCCATTGTAAGGAGCAACTCTATATCTGACCAAAATTTAGTATAGGTTGCAGAATGACATGTTAAGGGTCCTTCAAAAATGCGACGTCTGTTAGGATTCCATCTATTGTATATACCCAAAGTGGTGAAGGGTATCATATAGTCGTGAAGGGTATTCATAATTACTCCGCTTTACTAACTGTATTATCATTAAGTCATCTTCGAAATTATTTTCTAACCAAACTACGTTAAACACCTTTCCAACATCTGTATTTAATCAAATTCCGCAAATTTGTCACTTTTTATGATAGGAAATTTTATTGATGCCAATTAACATTTTGTCAAGTGTAAAATCAGTTAACGTATCGTATTATTTACCATTTGGAGAGGGCTTGGCCCGATCAATGCCATCTTTTCTATCGTAAAGATCTTCTTTGTGAGATTTGACACGTTTTAATCGACACCAGCAATTCAAGGAAGTTTATTGAACTCATAGATACTATTTTATAGATAATATTTGGAAATTAAAATCAGTTAAAAGAAATAAAATGATTCATCAAATATATACACAATTTGTGAGCACAACAACAACAACAGAAAGTGTAAACAAATATATTCTAGAGAAGTTAAATTAATTTGGTGGATGGGAATTCCACGAGTATTATAGTTTAGTTGTGGTTTTGTTTTTTTCGACTTTAAATTATTATTACGATTAGCATCTTCTCATTAAAAAAACTCTTCATCCACCGGAGCTTGGTCAACAAATCAATACGGAAGAATACGTTTGTACGTTTTACTGTTTATGATGTGTAATTGTTTCAAATCTGAGCAAAATTAACTGGTTTTTGGGTATTCGACATTTAAATATTCTTTCTACGTCATAGGTAATAGGTACAAAATATATAAACAACAAAATCTCTTGTAACACAATGCCGATTGATGTAATCAGCAGTTCATTTGTTTATAAACAAAAAATAGAAACTTGTTCACAAAAATTGATTTGGAGGGAATTCTATAAGCGAAAAGAAATACAAATTTAAAATTATGATCTCCATACGAACTAGTTTTTACGTCATCATATTTATACTCTGCACAGTTATGATGTTATGCTTGTTTTGACCAGATGTTGGTGACATTTCGAAGTATTAGGGTACTTAATACAACTACTATATTTATAATTTTCAAAATTATGGGAAGGTACCCGAAGAAGCTGCCCTATGGACCTCATCTTCAGATTTGATGTAGCTTTGGCAAAATATAACGATGTGCAATCAATGGTTTAAATATGATACTCTATTCGTTTCAAATGAAATTTACAATTTGTTGAAATGTTGACCTATGTAAGGGAGGTATCGGAAGGAGTAGACCTATGAAACCATTGTCACCATTGTCATGGGACTTCATATAGGTTTGGTAAAAGTATTAGATTTGCAAAGCTATGGTTAAATCGGACATTCCGTTCGATTAATTTTGGATTTAAAATTTTTTGACATTTTGTGGGAGAGTCCCATAATCTATACTAATAAAAGGGAAAGTGATTGACTGACCGACTTAACGATTCATCAAGGCTCAGACGAAAGGGCTCAAGCTAAAATCTTGAAATTTTGGGTGAGGATCACTTTTAGTCCAAATGTGGCAGATAAGGCTGGGTTATTGGAAATTCGTTCGTGATCGGCAGGATGGAGTGTAGAATAGATGTAGTAAATGGTTCTTGGACACTCGAACTATAAGTATCCGAAAATCACTAAAATGTACTAAATGGTACAATGTCATTGCATGATAATGAATAGAGCAAAAAACTTGGAATTTGGAATGCGAATTAAGGTTGGTAAGTAGAGTCAATAAAGGAGGTGGTTTTGAAAGCATGAAATATGGTACTATGATACAATTTGAATTTTGAGAAAAGGATGGAACTGGAATCCTGAAATTTGAAATTAACATTACCATCGTAGGTAGTATAGCAATATTTAAGTAGTTTTGAAAATTTGTATTTATGGTTACGAAAAAGTACTAAATGGTACTATATATGTTACAATTTGGATTTGGGGGAATCAATAGAGCTGGAACACTAAAATTTGGAAATAAAATTACTCTTGGAGTGTAGGATTGGATTATGCAGGAAGTTTTGGAAATGTTTAGTCTTGGAAATTCATACTAATGGGTACTAAATGGTACTAAATATGGTAAAATTTGATTTTTGGGTGTCTAATAGAATTGGAATCCTGAACTTTGGTGTTAGGTTCACTGTTGGGGTGTAGGGTTGGGATATGAAGGGTGTAGGTTGGGATATGTAGGAAATTTTGGAAATGCATACTAATGTGTTCTAAATAGTACTAAATTTGGTTGAATTTTAATTTTGGGTGAACCGATAGAGCTTGAATCTTTCTATTTCTATTGTATTTATATTAATGTGTACTAAATAATACTGAATTTGGTAAAATAAAGATTTGGATGAAACATCAAATTTGGAATTAGAGTACAAATGGTAATAAATGGTACCAAAATTAGTATAGAGCTTGATTTGTGTAGCAAGTTTAAAATCTAAAAGTTTGCTTACTCTATCTTGATTCAAATGCACATACAGCAGTTGCGAATAAATCGACATAGAATTATTTTCTGATCGAGGGTATATATAATATATAAGCTCTCCGACGATTACTTTGAGGTATAGCAAACGGAATAACAAATGTTAGTATACATTCTGTCCTATGGTGGAGGTATAATAAAAAGTTGTTTGCAACATCTCTAAATATTTTCGTTATAGGTCCGTGCTTCGACATATAGAGGTATATAGTCCCCATATAACGGTAGCCCCAGTATTCGGTATTTTTTCCAACCAATTTGGCTGTAATTTGGTATTTCGGGTTCTCATTGTATAGCACATTTCCGTACTAAACCCAGTAAGGAAAGTAGTAAAGTCGGACGGGGCCATATAATACCCTTCACCACTTTGGGTGCCAATCGGACCAACCTGGGGAGTTTGGTGCAGCAGTTATATCTATCTTCTAGGTTATATTAACTTCAGTACGCTGTGGAAAAGTTGGTGTCAATTTTGTGTAAAATCGGACTAAAACATATATGTAGAAGATATATCTAAATCTGAACTGACTTCAACGAGACTGGCCAGAGATTAATTTACATTAACTACAGTTCATTATAGAAAATTGTGGGGCAATTGGACTGAACTTTGGGTCTTTAGTGCACAATTTACATAAAATAGGACGAAAATATATATGGGAGCTATATCTAAATCTGAACCGATTTTCACGAAACTTAGCACACATCATTCTAGACTTAATTCAGTGCGCTATACCAAATCGAAATATATATAGGGACTTTGGTTCACCATTTACATTAAATCGGACGAAAATATATATATGTGAACTATATCTAAATCTGAACCGATTTTCACGAAACTTAGCACAAATCATTCTAGGCCAAACACTTCGTGCAAATCGAAATATATTTAGGGACTTCGGGCGCACCATTTACATTAAATCGGACGAAAATATATATGGAAGCTATATTTAAATCTGAATAGATTATCAAGAAACTTAACACACATCATTCTAAATCTAATTCAGTGCGCTATACCAAATTTCGTCCAAATCGAAAGATATATATATAGACTTTGGCACACCATTTATCTTAAATCAGACGAAATTATATATGGGAGCAATATCTAAATCTGAAACGATTTTTCCCAATTTCAATACGGTTCGTCCTTAGAACAAATAAATGAGCAGTGCCAAATTTCAACCAAATCGGATGATAAATGCGACCTGTACTTTCTTTACAATTTAACATCAACAGACGGACGGACATGCATAAGTCGACTCTGAAAGTGATTCTATGCATATTCTCAATAGGAACCATGGGTCTATCTCGTTTCCTTTTGCCTGTTACAAACATATGCACAAAGACATAATACCCTGTACCACAGTGTGGTGAATGGTATAAAAACTTGACCTATGCAGAATTTGTCCTTCTAGATTCTTGGGATTTCATCCCCATAAGGAATTTTTCACTTTCCTGACCCTCGACTTTCATTGTGTCATATCAGATCATATTGCTAATATCAGACGAAATATTATAACTTTTTAAAAAGATATTTGCAAAAGCTTGGGCCAAAATAAATTCACTATAGCTTACCAACATAGTTCCGTAGGGTATTCAACAGAACTGAAACAAAACAAAATTAAGATTTTAACGTCACATTGTTGCTACTGAAATATGAATGAAGCTATTGAAAACACATAAACATAATTCCATGCATATCAAAAGAAATTTAAATAATAATGGTTGTGATCTCCATTCTCTATTGAAACAAAATACGATAGTCATTCTTGATGATCGTCGCAAATTTCGAAATACATAATTAAAGAAAAGACTAGAAGAATTTCTATAAATTTAAGGTATTTACATGAATATCGAATAGTCATTTGTTAACCCGAGAAAGAGTAGACCATTATAAATTTGATATCGTTAAACGAAATTATGAGTAAATTTGTAGTTTTGTTATTTTCCGTTCTATTAGTAGGCCTATTTTGCAATGCCGCAAAATGTGAAGAAGTTCAGACATTGGAAAATATTCAAAGTGAAAATGATGCTGCTGTTGTTCCCGTTGTAACAGAGCAGTTGGACAATATTGATGTGTTGACAAACAGCCAAGCGGATTTGCCAATTTTAGAACCACAAGTTCGCCAAGGACGTCAAGTTTTTGTTGGTATCTATCCACCACCAGTACCTTATTACGGTGTAGGAGGCATCTATGGAGGTGGTTTTTATGGAGGCGGTGGTGGAGGTTTTTACCGACGCGGATTTTATGGTCGTCGTAGTTTCCGTCGTTTCGGTGGACGTCGTCGTTTTTATGGTTAAGATGTTATTAGGTTAAGAGAAATTTAGAAAATTTATTTATTTTAAGGTGGTTATTTATTAAACAATAAAATGTATAAATTTGTTTGTTTTGTTTCCATTTCGGCCATTGTACTCTAAATCATCTAGAATGTTTTATACACATCGAAGCATTGATTCAGGTATAGTGTAGTCATATTTTTAGAGCCTGAGATGCATCAAATCAAGTTATATGTTATCGATGCATAAATCAACTCAGAAATATTGCCAGAAGTAACTATGGGTCTAACTTACACAATGACACAATACACAAACGGACCTAAAAGTTATTTATTAGTTTTTACTTAAATATGAAATATGTGTATAACATTCACTACACTGTGGTACAGGGTATTATATGCATATATATGTAACAGGCAAAAGGAAACGAGATAGACACATGGCTCCTTTTTTTAAATTGTAAACAAAGTACAGGTCCCATTTATGATCCGACTTGGATGCAATTTGCACAAAATTATTTTAAGTTTTTACCTGTTAGGAAAAATGTCATTATTAGAATTAATATCCTCCAAATTACAATTTAGCAACCAATCTGCTAAAATCACGATAGAAATCGCAATATCTAAGATGGAGAGTATACAAAATTCGACAGAGAGATTTTTATTAATTTTTGCCAACAAAATATAAAAACCAGTGAGCGGAGCAGTATAGTCGGACGGGGCCGACCATACGATACCCTACACAACTACCACGAACTCTAACTTTCTGAGGATGTTTATTCCGAGTCGGAGTAATATTTCGTGATATTTGCCCCCTCTTGTCCGATTAGAGGTTAACAACACCTCTTCCTTACTTTTTTCGAATATTCAGTACAGTCCTTCTAATTACTTGTCCAGATTACCTTCACGGTGGGTTGTGTTGTGATTTTCGGATTATACTCTACTCGAAAACACACAAAAAATTATGTTTTCGGTCCATTTCATCCCAAGATTTTAATCTGATCATCACCGAAAATTGTAGGCGTTGTTCTTGACCATAACTGGAACTTCATGAAAAATTTCAAAGCCATCAGCGCGATATTTCTCCCTCTAATGTGGTAATGGGTTACTAAATAATATCTGAATACGTAAGCACCTGTAAATATTTGACTGTAACTCCCACATCTGAGTAGATACATCACTATATTTGGTATCAATTTAAACGCCAACCACTCCTCTTGGATATGCTATCAACTCCTTGGGTCTACATCCTCCAGGAGTAAATATATATGTCATAGAATTCAAATTTTGTCATTTTTCACACAAAAGTCAGGGTCCATTTGACCCGCTAGATATTGACCGATCTTTATCAAAACATGCATGCTTATTCTCTGGCCCGATCCCCTTCTCCATGCAAAAATTCGCGGTGTTTGGGCCATAATTGCGGCCTCTGGAGCGACCAGAAAAACCGACAAAAATTTAGTATTTGGTCCATTTCATCCCCTAAATATTAACTGATCTTTTCCAAAAACAATAGGGGTCTTCATTGGCCAGAACCCATCCTACATGCAAAATTTCGTGAAGATTGGTCCATAACTGTGGCCTGTATCGTGTTTACAAATTATAATGGACAGACGGACGGACGGACGGACGGACGGGCGGACACACATGTCTAGATCGACTCAGCTAGTCGAGATATGACGATCGGTATACTTAAAGGTGGGTCTAGGACCAATATTTCGCGGCGTTACAAACATTTGGGGCTGCACAAAGCTATAATACCCTGACAACATAGTTGTGTAGGGTATAAATATTGGTCGATGTTTGTTGTATAAAAGGTTCGGCTCCTTTACAAAATTAATATTATGGTTCTAGGCGCATTTTCAAACCGATGTGATTTGTTTAGTATTAAGAAGTGGTTGTAACAACCAGGTTTATAATACCATGTTCATACATACCGCCCATACTGAGGTCATGCGTCATTTTCGATATGTCCAAGGTCCTAGCCAAATTTTATAACTTGAGTGTCAGTTGTTTGGTAATTCGTTTTCTTCTAGCCATAATTTACCATGCCATACCCTCTTCTATCAATAGAATTGGTAGTAGATTAAATACCAGTCATTCATCTTTATTATACTCGTAACTTATCCGGATAATGTTTACGGGAGTGAATATTTACGCCATAAGATAATCATATAGAGTAACTTCGGTTAATTTGGACTATGCGTCTAATGTGGACCACCCCCCATGTCTAAGAAAATGCCTGAAATATGTCAATGCCGCCTTGATAAATGTTTTTCTAATTAGTGAAAACAAACATCAAACTAGGTTTTTAATAAATTAATTTATCACAACCAATCCACAACCTACCTTAAAACTTACTGATCCTCATTACCCACACATACTGGTACATATTACCCGCCAAGTTATTTTTATTCGCAGTTTAGAGTTCTTTGAAATATAAAGTAATAACAACATTTTGATAGACAAATATATATAATGTTTGACCTGGAATATATCTAGCCAACAAATCTACTATGTTTCGAAAACAATTTGTTTTTATTTTTTACCATTGTTACAATATCCTACAATATCCAAACCAGTAAGGAAAGTAATAAAGTCGGACGGGGCCGACCCTTCACCACTTTGGGTATATTCAACAGATGGAATCCTAACAGACGTCGCATTTTTGAAGGACCATTAAAATGAAATTAAACATGTCATTCTGCAACCTATACTAAAATTTGGTCAGATATAGAGTTGTTTCTTATAATGGGACAAAATTATGTTAATAAATTTAAAGCAAAATATCTAAATCTAAACCGATTTCATCGAAACTTGACACATGTTAGGTTACACTTATTTCAGTATGTTTTTTTTGCATTCGGCCACATTTTGAGTTCTTTATTTATTTATAAATCCAAAATCGGACGAAAATATGTATGGGAGCTATATCTAAATCTGAACCGATTTTCACGAAATTTAACACACATCGTTCTAGACTTAGTTCAGTACGCTATGCGAAATTTCGTGCTAATCGAATGATATGTAGGGACTTTGTTGCACCCTTTACCTAAAATCGGACGAAAATATATATGGGAGCTGCATCTGAATCTGAACCGATTTTCACGAAATTTTAGACTTAATTCAGTACGATATGCCAAATTTCGTGTAAATCGAAGGATATATAGGGACTTTGGTGTACTATTTACCTAAAATCGGACGAAAATATATATGGGAGCTATATCTAAATCTGAACCGATTTTTCCCAATTTCAACAGTGTTCGTCCTAGGACCAAATAATTGAACTTTGCCAAATTTCATCCAAATCGGATCACAAATGCGACCTGTACCTTGATAACAAAAATACATGGACGGACGGACAGACGGACATGCATAAATCGACTTAAAAAGTGATTCAATGCATATTCTCGTTTCCTTTTGCCTGTTACAAACATATGCACAAAGACATAATACAGTGTGGTGAAGGGTATAAAAAGAAAATGGTGGTCCACATTACCCTAAGTTACTCTAGTCATTTTACTAACAAATGTGTTTGTTTATTTGAACCGCTCTAAGGTGAGTAGAAAAAAAAAAAAAAAAAAAAAATAAAGATTTGGTTTATTTTATCCTTAAAATATCTGATCATCATCGAAAAATATATTTGTCGTTCTTAGCAGTCAGCGCGTGTTGTAATGACGATATTAAAAACATGACCAATTTAAAAGACACCCACTGCTCTGGTCTATATTCTTCAGTAGTAAATATTGTGCTATAGAAAGCAAACTTTTTAATTTTTTACACTATTATCGAGAAAAGTGTCATGCTTATTTCATGGGCAGATCTCCTTCTCCGTTTAAAATCTGATGTTCGGATCATAATTGTGGCCTCTAGAGGGACCTGAAAAACAGACAAAAAATAGAGTTTTTGGTCCATTTGATGCCGTAAATATTAATCTATCATTACCAAAAATAATAGTTGTCTTCATTGTCCGGAAATGGGCTTACATGCAAAATTGTGAGACCATTGATCCATAACTGCGGACTGTATTGTGTTTACATATTATGGTGGACAGATGGACGGACATGCATATCTAGATTTATATGTGGTAAAATGTATAAGAAATAACTCATATGTAAATTAATTTACATTTTGCACAAAGCGTCACAGACGAAATCTTTATTCACACACACATTAGGAAGAACATATCAACATAATATTTGTCTTTTCTAAAATTAAGATAAATAACAAACAAATTTTGTATTGTGAAAGTTATAAATCAAATGAATATTTATAAGACCAAGACATAAAAACGAAAACTGCTGAATCATTTATAAATTATACAAATCGTTATGGAATATTATTTAACATCGATTTACTTTCGTTTATTGATGTTTCTAGAAGATGGAAACAGGAAAAAAATTGTCAAAAAGAAATTTGTTTTGCAGAAACACAACACAAAAAAGAACATGTAAAAATTAACACAACCAAAATTTAATACTTTTTGTTTTGATTTTTTAAATTGTCCATCGATGGGTCAATCACTTATTGATTGTTGTTTAAACGCTTAATGATGGTTTACGGGGGATTGGGGAAGCCCCTTTGTTTTTGGGTTTTCCAAACAACGGTTATGGATAGTTCGTTCTGTTTTCATTTATAAGATAATAATTGATGATCATCATTTTGGCTAATAATGGAATGGAAATTTACTACAATTACACACACATACATGAACACACAATTATTACATTTATAACAACGTTAAATCTCTAAATATGATAATTGCTGTAAACAACCAAAACTAGAAGTTTTTAATGACAATTAGAGTTTTAAGAACATCAAATTTTAAGGCTTCGATACAACCCCCATTTCCCCCCTTTTCTTAAATTGTATTATATTTTATTTCCATAAAAGCCGTCATGGATGGCATCATTTCTCAAACCCACTTTTAATTGCCTATTATCATGAATGTAATAACTTAATACTATTACCACCGTACTTTACTTCAATTGTTGATATTTTTGGTTGTTTGTTTTTTATTTTAAG